ACTATACACGCGATGACATTTTGAGCAACAAGTACTGAAATTATCTGCATGTTTATGGTTTACTCCTACTCCTATAAAGGTCGTATCAATAGATATACAATCCACATATACCTTTTAATAGAGTTTGATTTTGACACAAATAATGGTATATTGTAGGAGTAATTGATGGTCAAAGTATGATTGGAAAGAAACGGAGAGAGTACTGCTACTATTAATAAACGTATCTAAGTATATTGTCTTATAAAAAATGATCCTATAGATGAGCACAAGCAAACAAAATAAGCAAGAAGCATACGTGTGTACACTGTGAATGAGGAGCATGCAATGCAAGTACGTAGATTGAAGAGCACAACATCATGACATGTTAACTACTCATCTTTTGGAAAGAAAACTTGTTTAGTACCCACTACGTATATAATACTCGCAAGCAGCATGGAATCTAGGCCGCTTAGTTTATGTAGGATACCAAAAACGGCTGATAGTCAGTAACTTTATTCTGGTCTCTGGAGAACCAGTCTTGGTGAATCGCCGCCGTTACAATCCACATCTGATCTGAGAAGAATAAGTCATAGGAGTACAACGCGTCCCCATCCGCGGTTGTTTAATTTGGTGCTGAATCTGAATACCAACATGGACTCTTAATCTGAGCTACTACCCGTACGGCCACCACCGCGACCTGTGGCCGCGACGGCGATGGCGACGGCAACGAAATAGTAAGCGTAAGGGCCAAGGCGTGGTGGTCCTGGCGGATGTGAAGAAGATGCATGCTGGACACCGAAGTGGACGTGCATTTTTTGGCTTTCGATTTCAATTTTGAGGCGCATGCAGGCGGGCAGGCGGTTTCCCGCACGCGGCCGACGCCCTGCGCTGCAGATCGAGCTGGCCTCGGACCAGCGGATGGTGCGGATCCGCGCCGAACTTTTCTGCGGCGCGGGCGCTTCTGGTGGGTGGTGGTGGCCAACAGGCCAAGGAGCGCGCACGTCCGAATCGCCCGGCCCCGCAATCGCGGCTGCCGGACCGCGTCGGTCGCTGGTTTTCTGCTGGATATTGTGTGGTCGCTTTACGTTATTGACCGCGCGCGGCCGCTACTCCTACTCGGCTGGGTACGCTGCGCCTAACCGACGACACGGCAAGAGCGGAGTGCGTGATGGGTCGACGTGTAGCGCTCGTGATCACTCGACCTCCCAATCATGTGGTCTTATTTGGGGTAACGCTGGGTGGCAGGTTTAATTAAGTCGTGCTAGATCCACCAACAACCATATGTAGCTTTGGGTGCTCCGGCGAAATTCGGCGCCAATTATTGGGTTTAGGCGGCGCTCCGATCAAGTCGCCATGTGGTACGCTTCTCTGCACGCATCATCGTAGTTTGCTGAATTCAACCTCTTCAAATCACCCTCCAACGCTCCAACTCCAACCCCTTGCATCTACACGTACGCTGAACAGTGCAGGCCCTCCTCTCGTTCTCGTCTCGTGAAATATGTCGATGTCGTTTGCTGCGTGCAAAGGCAGAATGCATGCGGCTGAATCGTACTGCTGGCTGCGCGCTGCCGTTCAATTCATGTCTAGTGACCTGGCCTCGCTAACGCAAAACAACTTGCTCCCACATACAACATGCGATATTGTCTCCAAGAAGAAGGATCGTCTAGCCAGCAGGCGAACGAACGAAAGAGGAAAGCTGGGTTTTCTATAATCCACGAGGAACGTACAACCGTGAAACTTTGTCAGATCGATCGTGTCCTCGATCTGATCCGTAACTACTGTACCAAAAAAAAACACTCCATCGTACGTACCGATAAAAAATATTCCTTTTGCACCCACGTAATTAATTAATAATAAGTAATGTTAATAAAAAACAAACGCAACGTACGGTGACTAGATTCGCGAACTCCAGGAACCTTTTTAGACCTGTTTTGTTAACTCACCTCCACGGCGTTTGTCTGCCTAATTGTCTCGAAAGCATGCACGCCCAAGCCCAAGTGTGCGAGTCATGGCACTGCAGGCACAGTGACACAGTATAGCTAGACAGTAGCGGATTTTCGTTGGCTTAGCTCTACAAACACAACCACACAAGCGTCCGAGTGCGCTTCTAGGGAAGAGTTTGGTCACAGCACTGTAGCACTCGCCAACTCTCTGCCCACGATACCGTGCATCACGGTCAGAGAAAACGCTCGGAAATCACGGGAATTCGGCAAAACACCGCGTGTCCGGTGGAGAGAAAGAGAACCCAGTGCGCGACGCCCGGCCGACCGAGCAAAACCAACACGAAACGGCAGCCGACCGGAGCCTGAACCGCCTGGACTCGTGATGTCAAGCACACGACGACGAGGCGAGGCGACGTACGCACAGCACAGGCGCGCAGGCGGAGGTCAGGATCAGGCGCCTCATTATTTCCGCTAGCCAACCAACCGACCCTGGCCTCACTCCCTCGTCATCCCTCGGAAGTTGGGACCGGCTCGGCGCCGCGGCCCGCGGGGCCCTCCGTTTTTCCCTTTTCCCAAAACGGCCTCCGCCACCCGTATCAGCGCCCTGCCCCAGGACGGGACGGGGCCCCACCAAACGGCCCGAGCGCCGCAGCGGAGAGAGAGACCATTGCCATCTGATCTCGCTGGTCTGGCGGGGCCAGCGGGCGTGGAGCCCGCGGCGCGGTGGCCTGTCACGGGGAGGAGGCGAGCCGGCGTCCGGCGGGGGCAGCGGAACAGGGGAGGAGACGCGAGGTTTGATTTGAAGCGACCCGGGCGTCCGATTTTACGGTTTAACCCCCCTACGTGTTGCAAAACACATGCTCCGACTCAGCATAGCACTCTGCCTGAAAACAATGTACTACTATTTTCTAATTCTGCATTTAGTCAAACTATCTAAAGTTAAATAAATTTAAAAAATATCAATAACTTGTGACAACAAATAGGTATGCAATGAAAGTATATTCCATTATGAGTCTAAAAATACTTATTTAGTATCCTATATATTATATATATTCATTGATAATTTTTTATATAAACTTGGTTAAAATCTTGATGGTTTAAGTGGATATTATGCTAGAATTATACTCTTTCGAGGACAAAGAGTCATTCGAATAGCATATTTTTCCCTTCTCTTTTGTGTTATAAACATATCACATAATCTACATATTGTTCAGCTAGATTTGGAAAACTTTTGCCATTAATGTTTTTAAAAATGTTTGAGAACATGAACATGATATGCACAGATTCATCCATATATTATAATGTATGGCATGGAAAAAACTAAGTTAAAACATGTTTTAGAGCAAATCTAAACATATATATTATGCATGTCCAAACAAAACCCATACTATGTTTAATTGGGTTGAAACAACATTAAGAAATGTTGGTCAAACAAATAATAATAATAATAATAATAATAATAATAATAATAATAATAATAATAATAATAATAATAGTTTTCTTCGCTATAAGTGTTATCAGGGTGAAACACACTTGCACACCACTCTATATGCATATCATGCTCAGATGCCGACAAACATGCTACATGGCTACCAAATAAAACCACCAAAAGCAATCAAGTTTTGATTAGTAGAATTATCATACAACAACACTATAACCTTGAAAAGGAACTCGAATTTGCCCTGTCAAAATGTTCTAACTTGAAGCCCTCAACTTGAATTCGAAATACTAACTTAGGCTTTGAAACTCCATGCAAATCCAAATCCAATAGTGACACAACTATTTTTTCCCCATGAGTGCCTACACTTGAAAAATAGGATGTCTGGATCCAGTTAGCAAGAATAGCATCAAATTGGATGGTTCACAAAACACTAATACAATTTTATGATGTTAAATTGCAAATTTCTTATGTCCAATGTAAGACAACATCCCTTTTATCGATTCATCGATATGACTTGATGATGTCAATAAGAGACTAGTCATCTCCTTCTTTGCCAAGTAATTAATATTCTTAACAGATGTAACTACTATTTTTCCAAGCAAGTATCTCTTACTAGTACTAGCTATTCATAAATCAATAAGCATAAAAGCTAATATCATCATGCCATCTCTCTACGGTGTAGTCGCTTCTGTCTATATTTACAACTCTATATCTTAAAACATATATATAACATATATATTTAAAAAAAAATACTGATTCAATGAAGACCGACTATCCACTTTTACAGCCGCGTAGTTGCGCCTATTGAATTATTGATACTTGCCACTTTAGTGAAAATCCTAGAGAGCAAGAGTGGAAAAATAGTTGAAACTGTAGTTCCAAGAAGTAGCCCAAAAGGAGAGGGCTAACATAGAAGAAGCATATACAAACATCAACATCCCCATCCATCCATAGGTTAAAAAGGCCAGCACCCGCACAACAACAAGCTTCCCCTCATCAGAGGCTCAGACCCTCATCACCAAACTCTCTCTCCATCTCGCTCTCGGCCCTCCTCTCCTCTCTCCGCCTCCTCCTTCCCTCTCTCCCTTTCGAAACCCCATCTACGTCGGCGTAGGGCGCGGGGGTTGGAGTTGGAGGAAGCATTCGTGAAGACTCTGTGGCGACTTCTCCAGATCGGCAGATCCGCCTTTCTGGGCGATTTGGAGCGAAGCCCCCAAGTAGTTTGTTGCAGAAAGCAGCCGCTTTTGCGTCGCTCCTGCCTCAGTGCCCCTGTTGTGTTCGTCGTTCTTGGCCTCGGCCCTCGGATCTTATATCCAGCTAGGAAAAAGGGGTCACCTTTGCATTTATTCTTTGGCCCCTTCGGAGATCGCCCTCGTCAAGATTCGGTGGGAACCTAATTCTCTGCGATTCCCTGTGGAAAGGCGCCGCTTTGGTTCCTGTTTCCCCACAGCTCCCAACTCTATATATCTCAATCTCGTCTTCACCTACTTGCCTAACTTTCTTTTACTTTGATCCACCAGTTTGTGCTTTCCACCTCTCGGCATTCGGTTGTTTCTTGCTTTGACGCAAGCCAGATCAATCTGTGGCCGTTGTTTCCACCGGACTTGTTGTGCTTTGTCCTGTTCCTGGCCGGAGACATGGCCGCGGCGAACGGAGTTGCCGGCGCGGGGCTGTTCAGCGAGGAGGAGCTGCGGGAGGTTAGCGGGGTGCGCTGGGGGGAGGACTTCGTCGAGGTGACGTGCGGATGCACCAGCCACCGCTACGGCGACGCCGTCGGCCGCCTTCGCGTCTGCGCGTCCGGCGACCTGGAGATCAACTGCGAGTGCACGCCCGGCTGCCGCGAAGGTCCGTGCCAGCCACCACTTCCATCCCTTTGCTTGTCTCTTCGCTCTTGATTTCATGTCCGTGCATCGATGCGCGTATGGCGTATGGTGTTTGATTTCTGGGTCACACGATGTCTTGGCCCCGCAGATGAACATGCATGCAATGCCAGTGCACGCGCCACGGCGCTTCTTGTGCTCGGCATGGCCTGCTTCTGAGTGCTTGGCACCATGCTGCATCCCATGCATCCCTGCTCTGCCCTATCTCATGTCTGTTGCCTGTTGATTTTTGCCAATGCCTTTTCTGCAATCTGAATGTTAGGATGGGCCAAACTTGTTGGGTTGGTGGTCATGCTCTCCCCTGGGAGTAATTAATATCACTTCTATCATTCATTCGGCACAACTGACCTTTCATGTTGTTGTCTCGGCACACCCCTCTAGTACTAGCACATGCAAGCATTTTGTCCTTGATACCTAATGCACGTCGATTCAGTCTGTGTGCCCTTTTTGCATGCTGGTGGTCGTGGGATTTGCCCCTCTGTTCAGTCGTGGTGTCCATCACAGCAGTACAACAAATTGTAACGTCTCTGTTCATGTTCAGGCTTTCGTTTGCATGGATTAGCACCTGTTCTCGTTTGGAGTTGCATGCTGCTTTCTTTTTGTAGATAAAGTGGAAGTGGCCCTTTTGATCTTAACATCGGATACTTGTTTGCTACGAGTTGTAAAGACCACCTTGTCTCTGCTCTGTGTTAATACCTGGTGGCCTTACTAGTTCATCTCTGATATGGTAGATGATATTTTCTAATTCTAATCTGCAGTGTCTGTATCTCATTGTGCGTCTCTTCTAATCTGCAATGTCTGTATCTCAGTGTGTGTCTAGAGTATTGTAGGTGACATGTTGACATATATATCATAAGTGTTATATCTGCGGGTTTTACTGCATACCATATACAATGGATGGTCTGAATCCGAGTTTTTGCATTGAACCTAAATTGTTTGAGAAGGCACATTTGTTTCTTTTGGAGCCTAATGGTCGAGGCAACAATTGTCTACTCAGATGTGCAAGTCAATTCTCATTTGATTTGGCACCCTTCTCTTTTTGTGGCTGGCAATCATAGTGATGGTAAGATGTCAATGAGATCGAAGCATGGGCATAGCAACCATGGTATGGCTTGCCATATATTCCAAAATTCAGGGTTTGTTTATGAAATCTAGATATGTATGTGGGATTTAACAAATGGGGTAGGCTCTGGATTCGAAATATGCAGTCCTAATGCCAATAACTTATGACGGCAACCTGCAGCCTTCTATAAGGTGTATCGATCTGGGGCTACATACAGTGCAGTACTCCTCGGTGGAGTAATCAGGCACCCAGTTTTTTTAGGATAGTTAACTTTGTTTAAGTGCTGCTTGGCTCGAGTGACATCACAGATCATGGAACTTCAAATGGTTCTTGTTTTATATGAGTGTGGACTCTTAAGACTGTGGGTATTTCTTCTAATAAAAACTTTCTGGCACTTTATGTTGTCGTTATCCCGGACCTAGTTTTTAGTGTTATCATAGTAAACAGTGTTTGGAGGTAGTTGTTATGTCAGTACATTTCTAGGGCATTTGATCATGTTGCAACAATTGAGATAACATTTGTTTAATCATCTAGTGAGCACAACATTGTGTACTGATAGCTCACTTTCATGATGGTTCAGGATAACGTTGTAATTTGTAACTTGAAATCGCAGACAAGCTGACACCTGCTGCCTTTGAGAAGCACTCTGGAAAGGAGACAGCTGGAAAGTGGAGGAACACTGTCTGGGTAATGGTTCAGGGAGAAAAAGTGCCATTGTCAAAGACAGCTCTGCTCAAATACTACTACTTGGCGCACAAATCTGGCAATGGTTCTCACAAAGGTCGTAATGGACGTCCATCTCACCGTGATGAGTTCATCTGCTGCACAAGATGTGGTAAGGAGAGGAGATTTCGGCTCCGGTCAAAAGAAGAGTGCCGTGTTTACCATGATGCTCTCGCCAAAGTAAACTGGACATGCGCAGATTTAACAACTGATAGGTATGTGTTTACACTTTTTTCCACTGTGCCGTTAATTCTGAACCTTTTGTAGTAATAATCAATGCATAGCCTAGTTTTGTACGTTTTATTCATCTCAGCTATTGTGGACTTACGTTGTTTTCGTACTATTAGTTTGGTTTCTTTTAGTGCTTATTTCAAGTCATGCTACGGACTGGTACCATTTACTACAATTGTGAGGAGACTTCCAGTTAATCATCAATCATCTAAAGTTTTCTGCTCTCTGTGTTTACTGTTTAGTATACTGATATGAACTAAGGGCCTGTTTGCTTCGCACCTTCCTTTAGGCATCCACTCCCTTTAGGCTTTAGCTGCTGAAACGTCCTATTTTGTCCACTAGAATAGTGACAGCAAACACTGAAAGTCCAACTCCTGGCTCTACCAAGGCAAGTGGTTGATGCATATCAACTACGTCCAAAAATACCCAAATTGCACATTGTTGGTAATGTACGTTGTGGTAGCAGGCCACTGGTAAAGCACAATGTATAACTGTAGCGTACTGGTGAGATGGCTGTCAGTATCCTACTGTAGGTAAGTACGTAGAAACTAGAAACTGCACGGCTCTAGTACAATCTGTGGACTGTTGCCATCCAAGTTTCTGGCCGAAAATTAGCATACCTCTGTTGCAGGTTCCTGTCACTGGGCACAGCAGTACACTGAGTGGCATTAGTGCTGCATCCCTCAGCTTGCCTGCAGGGATCAGGCAGAAAATTTTACCAAGGGTATCATCTGGCGGGCAGTTCCTCTGTACAGACTGTATGGTGTTTCCTATTAATCAGAAGAAAGGGACTTGCTATATTCCATATTTGAATTTTTGGAAATTTTCAGGCAACAATCTTACACAAGCAACTGTTAACACAAAAGGTCAAGTTACAAGAGACACTTTTATAATTCTTTTTCTATAGCCAAACAAGGATAAAATTGCATGTTGAATGAGCTATTACAAAAAATCAGGCCCTAAGATATAGGAGAAGTGCAGAAGAGATAATTTTGCTGTGCTATATAGTACTACTTGATTCATCCGGCACTTGCATGTTATTTTCTTCCCCACCAGGGTCACCTGCGACGACGAAGAGGAGCGTGCAAGCCGTAAGGTCCTGCGAGGCTGCTCCCGCGCACCGTCCTGCACCGGCTGCATGAAGTGCGTCTGCTTCGGCTGCGAGACCTGCCGCTTCAAGGACTGCGACTGCCAGACCTGCGTCGACTTCTACCGCAACTCCAAGGAATAATAATAGGAGGATCTAACACCATTATTGGTTGGTTCCGTTGGCCAAGACAGCAAGAATGCTTCTCAACCATGCCGACGTCGCAGCAAACAGACTGTAGCTGTAGGGCAGGCCGCTATTCTAAACAATTCCATTCCATTCGCCTAGTATTTTCCATGGCTGGTGCTATCCGTCGAGTAGCGAGGGATGCCAGCCAATTTTGCTACATACTGTGGTACAATCTGCCAACGGTTCCTATTAAAGCCTCTGCTCGTCTGATCGTTTCTGTGGCTTATAAGCCGACTGATGCTGTTTTGTTGTGAGAGAAAAATAATGTATCATGGCTAATAAGCATAGCTAATACGATCGAGCGAACGGGTTTTATCCTCACATCGTTTTAAGATCCTTTATTTGTGTGCAAGTGAAATGTTCGGTTTGCTTTGATGCTCAGGTAGGACTGTTGGAGTATCAACAATCAAGTACTACTCCTGTGTATGTCCCGTTCTTTAAAAAAAAAATGGAGCTCTGACGTGGGCAGGGGCAGCCACAAAGATTGAGCGCGTGTTCAGTTCCATCCAAAATCTCAAAAAGTGCTACAGTACCTGTCACGTCGAATGTTTGCGGCCTGTACATGGAGCATTAAATGTAGACGAAAAAAAAACTAATTACACAATTTGGTGGGAAATTGCGAGACGAACGTTTTGAGCCTAATTAGTCCATGTTTGAATACTAATTGCTAAATAAAAATGAACATGCTACATTAACCCCAAATTTGAACTTTATGAAACTAAACACGCCCTGACGTTTCCCCTATAGACTCCGTATGCTCGTCAGCGCATGTCAGGATGCAGGGCTATAGCTGTCTCTGGTAGAGTAGCTGATTACGAAGATGGAGATGGGTTGATGCCATGCGCCCATGCTCGACATGTGTGCAGCTGTGTAGGAGTAGAGCAACGTGTTTCCGAACGCGCTGCTGCTACCTGGCCAGCTTCGGCGTTCGGGGAATCGGAGTGGAGCGTCGGCGCTGGGCGCTGGCGCCGAGCCTGCGCCGCGGCGGGCGGGCGGCGGGCGCGGCGGTCTGCGACCGGCTGGCCACCGTCTTGTTGATGGGCAACGCGACAGGGTTTTCTGCATGGGCAGCGCAGGCGGACCGCGGGGGCCACGGCCACCCCGGCACCCAAGGCCGCACTGGGCACTGCTGCGAGCTGCTGGTACGAGAACAGTGGCGAGCGCTCCTGGCCCTGGCCTGGTCTGACGGTGTTTACGCCAATTGCTGCAGCAGGCGACAGGCACAGAGTTGCCGACTCGTCACGACAAGTGGAGCAGCGCGGGCGGCAGAGGCCTTGTTTTCTTTCACACTTCTCATTCGGGTACGGTACTACGGTGAGACGCCTAATATCGGTCACGAATATTTCTTCCAAGTAAAAGCAAGGCCGATATATAAGCATGTCTATATTTGTTTAAAAATAATTATAATAAGTATGAAAAGGATACTTCTAAGTAACTATTCAACCATTTTCTTCGATGCCAGTAAATAAGCATGTCTTTGCTTTTGGGGTTGAAAGGGGTTATGTTGGATTGAACCTATTTTTCAGTGTGTTTGATTTAGGGGCCAGAAGGGTTGGGTTCAATCCACGAGGGAATATTCCCTCTCTATCTAGGTTTATCCCACTCCTTCAAAATGGACAAAATTGATCGAATCAACTTCTTCCTCGAGCGCATGGGCAAGCGCTCAGGGGCGCGGCGCCCTAGGGAGCTCCGTGAGTGGCGAGGGTGTGTGGAGCTCGAGGGCACGACGGAGCTCCGAGGACGAGCTCGAGGGCGTGGCGGAGCTTCGGAGCAAGTGGCTGGAGCTCAAGGGCGCAACGCTCAGGGACGATGCTCTGGTGGTGAGGTTGGAGGCGCGGCATAGCTTCAGGTCCAGTGTAGGCAGAGCTAGGGCGCAGCGCGGGCGGTGAGTCTAGGGCGCAGCTCGAGCGGTGGGCTCGGGTGAGCATGCATCCACAGTTAGCAAGCGTGGGCGAAGAGAATTAGTGAAAGAAGAGAAGAGAAAGAAGATAATGTGGTCCCATGTGCTAGAATCCTCTGTTCACATTTATTTATCTGTAGACCGAGCACAAAACCAAAAATAATATTTTTTTCGAAAGATTAGAACCTGAGATAATATTATCTCTGTAATCAAACACGAGATGAGATGAACTCAACCAAAGAAAATAGAACGGTACCAACCTATTTCACTTATCCAATCAAACACACACTAATATCTCTACCATCAGTGGCGGCGCTGGGGGTATTCCCCTGTATTCCACAGAATACCCAAGGTTTTGGAAACAAACATAAATACATATATAAATACATAAATACATATATATACACGTTGCAAATCTCATTTAAACTCCCCAAAGCCCAATGTAGAAAGCGAGCAATCGTCACCCACCAAAGTAAAAACAAGCTCAAGTCGCATCGGGTTTCTGGCTGCAGCTGCCGAGCCGCTCCCAATTCGCATCGCACATTCGCACCAATCTCGTGGAGTCGTGGCAGAGGCCGCCGCACCAACTCACGTGCCACAGAGAGAAGGCACGCGCACGCCGGCACCTCGGCGCATCCCCTCTACCGTCACCCCTCCCCGGTTTCCTTGCCTGATGAGCTGCTGAGCGGGGTCCGGTCGAGCGACGAAGCGCGACTTGTGGCGCTTGAAAGAAGCGTCCCTAGCTCGGAGAGCCGTGCGGGAGAGCGGAGAGGCGGCAAAGTGAGACCGAGGCGAAGCAGCCCTGGCGGCGAGCCCGGCTCCGCCCGCTCCGGCATCCCGAATCCGCGCCAATGCATCCACACATTTACAGCAACGGGCACATCTGCTTAGGTAAAACTGCTTCCTAGGAATCATGTGCATAGAGATAAAAGGTTTAAAATTTTGAAGAAACTATGTGAGCTTTCAGTTATGCTTGTTAGCACAAAAAGATATGAGCAATATTATGTTGTTTACAAAGCTTCTTAAGTTGGTGCTAATTCTTCCCGTAGCCACTGCTGAGTGTTGAAAGAGTGTTTTCCACGATGAATTATGTGAAGAACAAGCAAAGGAATAAAATTGGTGATGAATATTTGAACAATTGTTTGGTCACATTTATTGAGAGGGAATTCTTCAGTCAAGTGAAAGATGATGATATTATTAATCAATTCCAAAAAGGAGACCGTAGAATTATATTTTAGTAGCTTTGATATTTTATAATCTTTCTTAATTATTAGACAATGGCACTGTGCCACTATATTTAGAGATTGTACTTTGCTTATTATTATTGTACATTTTTATTGAAATTTTTATGTACGCGGAATACCCAGCTATGAAATCCTGGCTCCGCCACTGTCTACCATTGACGCCCCACCAGAGGACCCGCGTTGAGCTCGTCTTGTGATCCTGCCTGAGAACTATTCCACGAGTCGCGTGCGGTCTCCCTGGGAGAGCAAATACGAGGGCGAAACGTGGAATTATATCATGACACATTTATATTTCTCTATTAGGAAACATGAGTCGCATGCACCACCATGACATGAACGGATGTGACGGGGACGGATGCACGGTGGAACCATCAAGAGATTCGCTAGGCGAAGGCGACAAAAGCTGGGCATGGCAAGATACGAAGAGATCGTGCGGCGATCATCGGGAGTCCGATCTCCGATGCGGCCACGCTGACGTCGGGAGCTGGGACTGCGAGTCTGCGATTCTGCGACTGACCCACGTGAGGCTTTTGCTGGCTCGCGGTGCGACCACTGAAAAAGTGCATCGGCGCATCATCTCGCACTTGGCATTCACGTCTCTCCTCTAGGGCGTGAGTAGGGCTAGTCGCCCACGCGCTAGCATTTGCGATGCAGGTTTTAATGGGTTGACCTATTTGACCTGTAACCCAAAAGTTAAGAATACGGTGTTGTTATTAGCCCGTGTTCCCCTCCAAATTCTCAAAAAGTGATACCATATCTATCACATCGAATCTTGCAATACGTGCATGGAGCATTAAATGTAGACGAAAAAAAACTAATTACACAGTTTGATAGGAAATTGTGAGACGAACGTTATGAGCCTAATTAATCCATAATTGAACATTAATTATCAAATAAAAATAAAAGTGCTACAGTGACCTAAATTTCAAACTTCAAGCAACTAAACACGGGCTTACTCGTTGGGTCGACCCACTATTCTTGGTGTTAAACGGTGTTGTGCTCCGTGGGTAACCCAACCTAAGCCGCCGTGCCCGAATTACCGTGCCGGCCACCGCGCCTCCCGGTTGCCGCCGCGTCGCCCGTCCGTTGCTACCCCGTCCGTCCGCATTAGGTCCGCTCCACCCGCATCCTAGGTCCTCCATCGACAGTCCTCCACATCGATCTCTACCATGTCTCTACCTCACGCGCCGGTGATGGCGATGCCACTGCACCCAGTGCTCAACGTGGAGGTGAGTCTAGGTTTCTCTCCCTCAGATCTCTGTATGTGTAAGGATTTCTTGGTAATAGGCCAGATTTCTTGGTAATAGGCCTTGACTCCCTTGGATCTCTATATGGCGCATGATGCATTTATTCTCTAGTTTTACTCGATTGAAAGTTGGGAGATTGGAGAATAGGAGAAGCGTGATGCACTTTTTGTTCTTGTGAACACATTCTGAAGTCAGTTCTTGTGAACGCATTCTGATGTCAGTTCTTTGTGCTAGATTGCTACTCACTACCTTGAGCCCTTGGTGCTAGATTGCTAGTGTGAGCAAAAAGCTTGCTAAACAAGCACTGAACTTAGCTGCAGTGTCTGTCTGAAGTGAACTTGTGTTTTTCTATGGTTGTAGAGTTAGAAGATTTCAGGGTCGTTGGGTCTAGATTTTTCTTGTAGTTGTAGAATGGCAACAACTGATGGTTGAAGATGAATTTCCCGTCTAAAGAGATGCATTAGTTAGCAATAGGTAGGCCTTATTTCCCACACCACAAGCCATTGACTATCCTGCTATCTGCACGTGCATTTGCGATGGGACTCTTTCTCAAAATAAAGCCTC